GACCTTCTGACAAGCAAAGTTCAATGAGGGAAGCCAGGATTCACCGTCTCCTGGTGTTTCCCCAAAGGAATTTTTGAGGAACCTCTTCCCATCTCCAGCTTCACACGGGCTTCTCCTTCCCTCTCGGTGTTTTCTCGATTCCCGCAGCTGGCTGAGCGTCAAGCTTCGGGCCTCTGCTTGTTGCCTTGCAATGGACAGATGTTGTCCTTTTAATTAAGAGCCTCGGGTGGCCATAAGACCCCCGTGGAGGCCTGTGAAGGATTCACAGCCTTCGGCTCGGTTCCGGCTTCGGCTTAGCGATGCAGTCAAGAGGAACTAATGTCCAATGAAGCCTGGAGATGTATGGGTTCAGAGGGGGCTACCCAACCCCTTTCCGTCCCTCTCACGTCATATTCCTGCCTTGGGTTAATTACTCATCATTCGAGCTTGCAAGGTTTTAAGCCCAACTGTCCCCCTCGTCCACCCACCCACCCTGGTGACTCTCTTTCAGACCGCGTCTTCTAAGCCCAGGATTATACGGACAAGAAAAATGGACTGGCTCTGGCTGGCAGGAATCGTTTTTGGGTTGTTGTTGTTGTTATTTGTTGTTGTCAACTCTTTTATTCATTAAACATGAAACTCGGTCAACTGAACATTGAAAAACGTGTCACAAATATCGTTCACTAGCTCTGATGTTTGATACGGGTTGCTGCCAACCTCCTAGGTATCAACCAAGTATCTTCTTAAAGTGCATGCTGATGAGGATGATGATTGGCAGGGGGTTGGACTAGAAGACCTCCAAGGTCCTTCAGAGCTGAAGAAGCTTCTTGGATGAGAAGCAAAACATCTTCAAAGAAAAACCAAAAAGTCCAGTTGCCTCCTGAAAAAAAAACAAAAAAACACCTTTGGGACAGTGGTGGGATTCAAAAATTTTTACTACTGGCTCTGTGGGCGGCGTGACATGGCTAGGTGGGTGTGGTGTGGCTTGGTGGGCGTGGCTTGGTGGGCGTGGCAGGGGAAGGATACTGCAAAATCCCCCTTCCCTCCCCAACCCACTAACCTGCTTTCCAGCTCCGTTCTCCTGGGCAGGGCAACCAAAGAAGACCCAGCCGATCCGCTGGGACTCGATGGGAGGCAGAGAAGAGATGGGGTTGGCGGGGCCAGTCAGAGGTGGAGTTTGCCGGTTCTCCAAACTACTCAAACTAGATGACCTCCAAGTTCCCTTCCAACTCTTATCATTCTGTATTCTGAAAGCTTGAGGGAAACAGGCTGAAAGTTAACAGCCTCGGTGTGAAAAGGATTATGGAGGGATTCAAACATTTTGAGACGGAGGCACCCACGGGAGTGATGCTCAAATATAGAAAAGCACATTAGGCGAGTAGACAGCTGTTTGTTGGGTTTTTCTGTAGCATAGATTAAAAAAAAAAACCCAGTCAGGCTTCAAATGATGTTACAATTTCTTGCTTTCCACCGGACTCGTCTCCTGAACTTCCTAATGAGGGAAGAATGTCCAGATAGTTATTAAGTGAGTTTTGCCCCATTTTACAACCTTTCTTGCCACTGTCATTAAGTGAATCACCGCAGTAGTTCAGTTAGTCTCACGGTTGTTAAGTGAATCTGGCTTCCCCCGTTGACTTCGCCCATCAGAAGGTCAAAAAGGGGATCATGTGAACTCAAACACTGCGACTGTCATAACTATGAACCAGTTGCCAAGCGCCTGATTCATTGTTATGTGACCGCTGGGATGCTACAACAGTTGTAAGTGTGAAAAACAGTCCCTAGACTAGCCAGGCCCAGTTCCTGCAACCGTTCTTCATATGTTTCCCCTCATCATCCTGGTTGCTCTTCTCTGCACTTTTTCCAGAGTCTCATCATCTTTTTTTATAGTGTGGTGACCAAAACTGGATGCAGTACTCTTGGTGTGGTCTTACTAAGGCTTTATAGAGTGGTATTAGTGTCTCCCTTGATCTCGATTGTATCCCTCTGTTAATGCAATTTAGGATTGACATTCACTGCTTGTCATTTCAAACGGTCCCTAAACAAACTGTTGTGAGTTGAGACTACCTGATAGTTTCTTTAAAACGGGTGAGGAACTATGGCCCTTTTATAACCTGGGGAATTCTGGGAGTTGGAAGTCCACAGGTCATAAGGGACCCCATCATTGGCTAGATAAGCTTTACGCACTTATTCAGCCGAATAAAGATGCAAGAGGAAAGCAAGAAGCAATCCTGAACATACCCAACACTCCCATTTATATGTTTGCTAAATTATCTACTTCATCACCCAGAAGGACTGGTGCTGTCATGCCTCTGTTGGAGACTGACTCTGAGGGGGAGGAGGAGGAACAGCCGACAGGGAGTGGAAGTGTGGCTCCGGAGGTTGTGGAGGAGGCTGGGGAAGGGCAGAGGCTGGCTAGGCACTCAGAGGAAGACCCAGGCCCATCCCCTCTCCATCCTTGGGCACGCAGGGAGGAGAGGATAAGGGAGAGACGTGAATGGCGTGGTCTACGGGGGAGGAAGGGGCCCTGATCCCCTTCATGGGCTGCAGCTGTGAGAACTGGTTAAAAGGACGGACATGCGTATGGGCCAGTGCTGGAAACAAAGCATGGAAATATCTCTAGTCTGTCATTCCTCTCTGAGTTTGGCATCCTTCCCAGTATGTGTTCCAGTATTGGTGGACATCTTCAAGCCCTTATCTTGCCTAGTTCCCTTAATTGCTTCAGTGTGGTTTGTGTTGCTTTTACTCTTTATAGGCATTTTTAGTTTAAACGGCATTTCCTCCTTTTCATAACTGCTTGTGGGGGAGTTTTTTGTCTCCAGTCAAGGATATCTGGAGTTTTGAAGCAAAATAAAGGAAAAAAAAGGGCTTCACCTGTTTTTTGTGACTGTGTTTATTTTGTATCCCACCCTGGGTCATCACAGGCGCACTCCACTCAGAAAAGCTGGCACTCTCTAGATAAGATCAAGAAGTATAGAAATGCTGGTCCCCCTTCTCCCTTGGAGGTCTTCCAAGGACATTGAGTGGCACCTCAGGGACATTGGGTGTTTTCTGAGGAACTTTCCATGACCTTCAGGCCTGCGGAGGCAACAGTGCCATCAGCACATATGCTCCCTCAAGGCTGTCAATAGAATTATTAGATTCCTGGTCAACAATCATCATCTTCATTTAATGACCCCATAAACCTTTGCGGGGTGGAGTCTGGGCAACTGAATGGAGCTGGCTGTTGTGGTTAGCCGGCAGCAGGTACAGATGGCTGAGGAGAGCGAGGACTCTGATGAGGGGCCAGGACCATCAGGGAGTGGACTGCTGCCTTCGGAGATTGTGGGGGCTGGCAGCAATGATGAAGAGGTTCCTGAGGAGCCTGTGCCAAGTGCACGTGCACGAAGGATTGCTCGGAGGAAAGGACAATTACAGCAGCACAGGCGCCTCGGGAGTAAGGCTGCAAGGTAATGGCCCCTCCCTCAGGAGGATAAAAGCCAGGTTTGGAAAAGCGTTCTTTGCAGACAGCAAAGAAGCTCTGAAGCTCAACTGGCGGACATCTTAGTTCATGTTTGGAGAATCTTGTAAATTAGTTGTTATCTCTGGGTTTTTGGCATCATTGACAAACAACTCGGCAAGGCTCTTTCTTGTCAGAGCTAATTAGTGGAAAGCAGCCTTTTATCTGCAAAGGAACAGAATTTGTTATTAAACCTTAAAAGGTGGGGGCTGCTGCCTTTGTCTGTTTGCTCTTTGGGAACCCGGTTGGGTCAGAACACTAGCAGAGGTGATTTTTTTTATGGCCGGATGCCCTTCCTGTCGCCAGTGCAGAGTTATGTTCAGCAGAGTAATTCTCATTGTGCCCAGAGAGACAGAAATATCTGCCTCTACCTAGGATCGAACTCACAGCCTCCTGATTGTGAGGCGAGAGCCCCACCTCTCGGCCACCACACCACTGCAGATTCCTGGTCAACTACCCCTGTTAAAAATGCTATTTTTCCAAATACATCATATTGCGAATATATAATTACGACCTCTTTTACATTTTATGTTATATTCTAATATATTTTCTATTTTTGTTCTATCCATTCATACCAGCATTCCCAGCTTCTATTATATTCTGATGTTTCTTTTTCCTTAAGTGCTAAGGTTAACTTATCCATCTCTGCACAGGTTGTTATCATAGAATTGCTAGGGGTTTTTTTGTAACCGTTTTTTTTCCTTTTTCCTTTTTTTTCTGTGTGTTGTGTATGTGTTTGTTTGACATTTTAGTTGTATAATTAATAAAGTTTTTTTTTTTAAAAAAAGCTATTTTTCCAATGGTTTTTGGAGGAGTTGTTTTTTTCCTTAAACCCTCAAAATCTAAATAGATAGTCCCGTTGCAGCTGTTATTGTTGTTGTTTTTAACCTCGGTTTACATACAGTGACAAACCGACAGTCGGATCAACAGGCGTCTGAGGTCTGTTTTGTTCCCTTCCCTGTTTAGTATTCCTATGACGGGATGGAGATTAACAGCCTGCCGGTGGATCTGACGGTCGTGTGGAATGGGAATTTCAACATTGACAACCCAGCCCAGAATAAAGGTAACTAGTCGTTTCAACGTGTCCTTGGAAGTGGTAACCTTAGCAACAAGCCACTTTTGTTCCCTAAACCTAGCCAAACGGTGCTTGCTTCCTTTTGTCATCGATCGCTGGATGTTTCCCTGGCTAATTTTTGTTCCGCTTTTCAATTAAATGCGTTTACTCAGGGTGAGGGGACACCAGCTCCTTTCTGCTTGGAAAGCAACCCCGTTCTCCTCCCCATCGATCCCAAAGCACCTGCCCCACTTTCTAAGCTTAATTTCAATAGATTATTCTCCGTAGGGTCCTTGGTGCTCTCTGAGCTGGGTGGTTTTCTTGCAGATGTTTCATGACCCAACTAGGGAATATCATCAGTGCTAGAAAGGAGTGGGGTTTGCAGAGAGGAGGAGGAGGAGGAGGAGGAGGAAGGGAGGAGGAAGGGAGGAGGAAGACTGTGGGGTCCTTGGTGCTCTCTGAGCTTGGTGATTTTCTGGCAGATGTTTCATGACCCAACTAGATAACATTATCAGTGCTAGAAGAGAATGGGATTTTGGGAGTGAAGGAGAAGAAGAAGGGGAGGAGAAGGAAGAAGAAGAGGAAGCGGGGTAACAAGAGGAAAATGATGACTGTGGGGTCCTTGGTGCTCTCTGAGCTTGGTGGTTTCCTTGCAGGCATTTCATGACCCAACTAGGTAACATCATCAGTGCTAGAAGGGAGTAGGGTTTGTGGAGAGGAGGAGGAGGCAGGGAGGAGGAAGATGATGGCTGTGGGATCCTTGGTGCTGTCTGAGCTCAGTGGTTTTCTTGCAGAAAGGAGTGGGGTTTGTGGAGAGGAGGAGGAGGAGGAAGAGGAGGAGGAGGAGGAGGAGGAGGAGGAGGAGGAAGACTGTGGTGTCCTTGGTGCTCCCTGAGCTTGGGGGTTTTCTTGCAGACATTTCATGACTCAAGTAGGGAACAACATCAGTGAGAAAGGAGGGGGGTTTGCTCTCTGTTAATATACAGATGGCTTCCCTTGTCGATATTGGTTGAACACAACAACAGCCAAGGAACCCCCAAGAATACTCCCACCCACAGTATATAAACAGAAAGCAAATACCACTCCTTCTAGCACTGATGATGTTAGCTAGTTGGGTCATAAAATGTCTGCAAGAAGACAATCAAGCTATGGTAGCATCACGGACCCCACCGCTGAACCCTGAGCTGCAAATATTCCCTTCCCAGAGTATCTCTGCAGCTCAGGGTTGAACTGGGGAGTCCTTGGTTCCCCCCCAATTTCTCACATTCATTGTGAATGCATTCTCACAATTTGACCAAACAGGTCTGTCTGACTTGGGTGGTCTTTCTTTCTTTCTTTCTTTCCTTCTTTCTTTCTTTCTTTCTTTCTTCCTTCCTTCCTTCCTTCCTTCCTTCCTTCCTTCCTTCCTTCCTTCCTTCCTTCCTTCCTTTCTTTCTTTCTTTCTTTCTTTCTTGATGACTGAGTTTCTTTTGCTTTGCATGTTGGGTGAATGTTAGCTTCCAATCCAGAGACCTGATTAATGGCTGAACCTAGATGAAATGAAGGCGTTCATATATCAAGCAAAATGCCTTGCTTACTGTCCCTTTAGTGAGAGGACTAGAGCGCTCATCGGGGCTAGAAGAGAATGGGGTTTGTCCTCTGTTTTACACCCAAGTGTCGTTGTTGGTGGGAGTTTTGTGGTTCTTTGATTAAGCTGTTTTATACTGTTGGGTTGTTTAGCAGTGCCTTAATCAGGGCACCTTTCATCCACCTGAGAATTGATAGAAGAAATAGGACCTTGCTCTCCAACACTCCCCCTGCCCAGTTTCCTGTCAAGGCCAACCTCGCCCCTATCTGCGCCACCCCTGTCTCCTCAGCGGGTCTCTCTTCTCCCTACAGTCCACCTGTACAAGTGTGGAGCCATGAGGGACAGCTGTGGGTTGTGTCTGAAGGCGGACCCCGACTATGAGTGTGGCTGGTGTGAAGACTTGAACCAGTGTACGCTGAAGCACCATTGCCCCGTCCTGGAGAACCGTTGGCTGGAACTTTTGGGGACCGGCGGCAAGTGCACCAACCCCAAGATTATGGAAGTAAGTGTCTTTCCCTTCCTCATGCCAAGACTTTCTCAAGTGTTGGAATCCAGTTTTGGTCGCCACGATGTAAAAAAGATGTTGAAACTCTGGGAGGAGTGCAGAGAAGAGCAACGAAGATGATTAAGGGAATGGAGGGCCAAACATGAGGAACGGTTGCAGGAATTGGGTATGTCTAGTCTAATGAAAAGAAGGATGTGGGGTGACATGATAGCAGTGTTGCAATATTTGAGGGGCTGCCCCCAAGAAGAGGGAGTCAAGCTATTCTCCAAAACACCTGAGGATAGGACAAGAAGCAATGGATCGAATCAAATTGAATTGAACTGAATTGAATCGAACAGAACAGAACAGAACAGAACAGAACAGAACAGAATAGAATAGAATAGAATAGAATAGAATAGAATAGAATTCCTTATTGGCCAAGTGTGATTAGACGCACAAACAATTTGTCTTGGTGCATATGTTCTCAGTGTACATAAAAAGAAAAGATACATTCGTCAAGAATCATAAGGTAATGATAGTCACAGGGTATATAATAAGCAATCAAATCATACTAGGAAACAGTCAATATAAATTGCAAGGAGACAAGTGACAAAGTTAGGGTCATACAGTCACAAGTGGGAGGGAATGGGTAATGGGAACGACGAGAAGATTAATAGTAATAGTAGTGCAGACTTGTAAATAGTTGGACAGTGTTGAGGGAATTATTCGTTTAGCAGAGGGATGGCATTCAGGAAAAAACTGTCCTCGTGTCTAGTTGTTCTGGTGTGCAGTGCTCTATAGCGTCGTTTTGAGGGTAGAAGTTGAAACAGTTTATGCCCAGGATGTGAGAGGTCTGTAAATATTTTCACAGCCCTCTTTTTGACTCGGGCAGTATACAGGTCCTCAATGGAAGGCAGGTGGGTAGTAATTGTTTTTTCTGCAGTCCTAATGACTCCCTGAAGTCTATGTCTGTCCTGTTGGGTTGCAGAACCAAACCAGACAGTTATAGAGGTGCAGATGACAGACTCAATCATTCCTCTGCAGAACTGGATCAGCAGCTCCTTGGGCAGTTTGAGCTTTCTGAGTTGGTGCAGGAAGAACATTTTTTGTTGTGCTTTTTTGATGACGTTTTTGATGTTAGGTGTCCATTTTAGGTCTTGTGATATGATAGAACCTAGAAATTTGAAGGTCTCTACTGTTGATACTGTGCTGTCTACTATTGTAAGAGGTGGTAGTATGGGAGGGTTTCTCCTAAATTCTACCACCATTTCTATGGTTTTGAGTGTGTTCAGTTCCAGATTGTTCTGGTCACACCATGAGGCAAGTTGTACAACCTCCGGTCTGTATGCGGATTCGTTGTTGTCTCGAATGATGGATGGAAACTAATCAAGGAGAGAAGCAACTTAGAACTAAGGAGGAATTTCCTGACAGTTGAGAACAATCAATCAGTGGAACAACTTGCCTCCAGAAGTTGTAAATACTCCAACACTGGAAGTTTTTAAGAAGAGATTGGACAACCTTTTGTTTGAAGTGGTGTAGGGTTTCCTGCCTAAGCAGGAGGTTGGACTAGAAGACCTCCAAGGTCCCTTCCAACTCTATTATTCTATATCTATATCTGTTGCAATGGGTCACTTTGTAGCAAGCAGGGGCCAGCCAGCCACTTCTGCAGAATGAAAGTCGATCACAGGTCATCCTCGAATTACGACCACAAAAAACTGAGCCCAAATTTTCCATTGCAAAACCAGGCTACATGGATTTTGCCCCTTTTACATCCTTTCTTGCCACCGTTGTTAAGCGAATCGCTGTGGCTGTTAAGTTAGTAGCAACAGTTGTTAAGTGAATCCATCTCCCCCACGAACTTTTCCGGTCAAACGGTCACAAAAGGGGATCCCATGATATGAACTGGTCGCCGAGGGTTTGAATTCTGATCCCGTGACCGTGGGGATGCTACAACGGTCGTAGGTCACTTTTTTCTTGCTGTTGTAACTTCAAAAGACTGCTAAACGTACCGTTGTAAGTCCATTGTAGGGTTTTTTTTGTGTGGCAAAACTGTCACATTACTATGAAAATTTATTTAATTTTTATTTGATTCTACATTCATTCATTTGATTCTTTTTTTTATTAGTTTGAGTGATTTACATGATGTTTTATTCTGTAAGCCACCTTGAGTCGCCATGGACGAATAGGCGGCAGTATAAATTCCATAAATAATAAGAAAAACGCTCATAAGTCCTCTTTTTCAGTGCCGTGGTTACTTTGAACGATTACTAAGTGAGCAGTTGTAAGTCAAGGGTCAACTCATAAAAAATTCCTATGCCTGTTTTAGTAGTTGCCATAAAAAAAATGGTGGGGAGGAAGGAAATCTGGAAGAGTAGTTGAAAGCGAAAGTAGATTCCAACTCTTATCTTTAAAAGATTGTAGCTAAACTACCAGAGCTTTTGCTTGCCAATATATTTAGCTGGAGAACGTGATTAATGACACTCAGCCCATGAACATGATTATTCGGTGATTCTGGTTTATGAGACACCTGGGGGGGGAGGGGGAAACAGGATCACAGGTATCCAGAGTTTTGTAGCATTAATTCAGCGCCAGAACAATAAACACAGATATCTGTTGCTTCATTTAACGTCTTTATAAACCTTATAAGTAAATTTCACAAACCAACTGTAGATTTCTCCAACATGGAGCAAACTCAGACAGAAATAAACACGTTGCAAGAACTTAAGCAGAGTTCCAGCCTTCAGCAAGCAAGCAAGTTAGTTTCTCTTTTACTTTAGTTCAGCAGGCAAGCAAGAAGAGAGAAGCGGTTTCGTTTTCAATAGACAGACTCAGAGCTCATTATAGCTGCAGAGTTGCAGAGCTTAATATAGAGCCATGCCTAGGCTAGTTTTAGTTTCAGTTTCCAAACTGTCCTCATTGGCTGATTTTAGTTGCTATGCCTATTCATTGTTACCAAGCTCTATTCCAGTTCATGAATAAACTCTGACAACAGGTGACGTATAAATGACGTAGGCCAGAGTTGGCTTCATACAGGGCAGTGCCAGTATGTTGCCTCAATTAAATCCTTTGAAGTTTTTTGAAGTTTGGCTCGAGAATCATGATTTAATCTGGAAGATTGCTGGAATCCTGGAATCCTGAGAACTATCTGTATATATCTTTTTTTTTTTTTTAAATGCACCCTCAGAAGTTTCTGCTGACTTTCTGCTGGAGGGGTACCTCCAGAGAGATTTCGTGGAAAGAATAAAACTGGCTGCCCCTCTTTTCCATTTTGGATTGTGGGTTTATTTTATTTTATCTTCAACTTCCAGATCTAATGAAGAACCAGTGGCCTCTTCCCCAGAGTCTGATCTAGGCTTAGCTTTTCTTGAGATCACGCAAGGCGAGCTAAATCTGGCTGCGAGGGAATAACTGACTTGATTAGAATATATCGGAAAAGTTTTCTGTTAAGGGAGCTCATCTTAAACTAAACAGCCAGAAATATGACGAGGTTGCTGAAAAAGAAAGAGAGAGAGAGGGAAAAGTAATTTTAGGTTGCATCAGCAGAAAGGTCCCAAAACTATGGAGAGTTGCAATGCCAGTGTAGTTTTTGGAAGGGATTCTATCCAGTTCACAGGGAGTCCTCGACATATGACCACAGTTGTACCTGAATTTCTGTGGCTAAGCAAGGCGGCGGTTAAGTAAGTTGCTCCCAATTTGGCAATTTTTTTTTTTTGCCATGGTTTTTACATGAATCACTGCGCTTGTTAAGTGAATCGCACATTTGTTAAACGAATCTGGTTTTCCCCGTTGACTTCGCTTGTCCGAAGCTGGCTGGAGCGCTGCAATCGTGATAGAATAGAGTAGACGAGGCCAATGAAGAACGTTCGGTTTGGTTCTGTTCTATAGAATATTTGTAGCTGAAGGTTGAATTGTGGCATCCTCGGGTCTCTCTGAGCTTGGTTGCTTTCTTGCTGATGTTTCATTGTCAAATGAGGTCATATCATTGGTGCTAGAAGGGACCAAGGTTTCGTTTCTATTCTGTTCCATTCTGTTCTATGCTTCTGTTTTTTTTTTTCTGTTCTGTTCTCCTATCCCCATACCTATCCCTATCCCTATCCCTATCCCTATCCCTGCCCTGCCCTATCCTTTCCTTTCCTTTCCTTCCCTTCCCTTCCCTTCCCTTCCCTTTCCTTTCCTCTCCTCTCCTCTCCTTTCCATTTTCCTTTCCTTTCCATTTTCCTTTCCTTTCCTTTCCTTTCCTTTCCTTTCCTTTCCTTTCCTTTCCTATCCTTTCCTCTCCTCTCCTTTCCATTTTCCTTTCCTTTCCTTTCCTTTCCTTCCCTTTCCTTTCCTTTCCTATCCTTTCCTCTCCTCTCCTCTCCTTTCCATTTTCCTTTCCTTTCCTTTCCTTTCCTATCCTTTCCTCTCCTCTCCTCTCCTCTCCTTTCCATTTTCCTTTCCTTTCCTTTCCTTTCCTTTCCTTTCCTTTCCTTTCCTTTCCTTTCCTTCCTTTCCTTTCCTTGCCTTGCCTTGCCTTTCCTTGCCTTGCCTTGCCTTGCCTTGCCTTGCCTTGCCTTGCCTTGCCTTGCCTTGCCTTGCCTTGCCTTGCCTTTCCTCTCCTTCTCTATTCCTATTCCTTCCCTGCCCTATCCTATCCTATCCTATCCTATCCTACCCTATCCTTTCCTATTCGTGTCCTATCCTATACTCTTCTGTTCCTATTCCTGCCCTGCCCTATGCTATCCTATCCTATCCTATCCAATCCAATCCTCGTCTTGCATTTTTGTTGAGCAGGCTGTTCCTCCCTCCTTCCCTGTGCTACACAAAACATTGCTCACACAAGGGAATGGAGAGCTTGGTGGGGACATAAGAATGATGGAGAGCCTCGAGCCAGATGTTTCCACTCAATCGTTGGAAAAAAATGTGGTCAATTAGTCATGTTCTCGGGGCCTGTACATTTCCTTATTGTTCAATACGTGCTCTCTGCGGTGCTTTATAGTTCATAAATCTGGAACTTGGTTCCAGCCATGTGGTCTCCT